AGTAGACTAAAGACTTTTCTATTTAAAAAGGCTTTTGAACATTAATATTAGGTTTTTCCAATTTTCAACTTCTAACAATTTATTTTATTTATATAATTTATTACATAGTTTTAATTTTAATTGTAAAGCGCTACTGAATATTTTATAATAGTGGCGCTATATAAGTTAATAAATTATTATTATTATTATTACCTACCGAACGTGACAGGAAAAAAAAAAACACAGAAAGTGTTTGCATTTTATGAACGTCCCAGGCCGCAAGGCCGCCTGGGACGTTAATTATTTCACACTTATGTGACGTGCACTCTAGCTGACTGAAAATTATATTTCCAGTGTAACAATGAAAAAAAATTGAACTACAATGATATAACAAATCAACCGCAAAATGTAGATTTTGCAAGGTTGAAAACAATTATGACAAACTATGATTTTGATGTTTTAAAGAAAATTTGAACATCTATTAACTAATCAGCACCTGACAGCACTTGAAAAAATATCAAATACGGTAATTGTGATATTAATCAGCCGGTTACATTTTTATAGCTAAGATATCTTGATGACTCTTACAAATACGTTTTAAAGCTGTCTTATATCATACAAGATTTTAATGTCTTATCCATCTTTAAATAATATATATATAAAAATATTTTTTTTCTTGATAAGATCCAACAAAAATTAAATGATATTGTTACTAAAAAAAATGAAAATGCTATAAAAATGTTTGGATTGGACAGACTGTCTTCATATTGTTCCGAGTGAACAAATGTTTTCAAGTGACTACTTATATTATTAAACATGTGCCTCTAATCCTTTAAAAACATAAGATTAGACAATAGAACGATTTCACATAAGTGTTTTTTATGTGGTCTTATTATATGGCTTAGATAGTACGCGCGCTCTGATTGGCTGTTGACAGATAATGACCGGTYGGAATTTTCTTGTAATGCCCGCTCACAGCGGTCATTATTTTTCGCCATTACACCAGCTTTGACTTTGAGTAAGACGAAGAAAAAACACACGATTTGAAACGCATTGCAAAACAAAGATATCCTTTTAGTTCGCTTACGAAAAAAATAAATGTTTGAAATTTTTTTATTTGCAAAATGAGAGACAACGAAAACTACAGTCAAAGTGAATTTATTTTACATGTAAGTTCGACTTGACGAGATTAGTGCGAAAGCCGACAAAATGGCTACCAAACAGACGAAAACCATTATATTTTTAGTACCAAACCGACGAAAATGACCAAAATCATTATATTTTTAGTAATTGTCTGCAAAAATGCGGGAATAATGGCTCCTTATTTCATAGATTCAGTTAATTTTCATGCACAAATACATTAATACAGTCTACTCACAAACTTTTCAATGATTCTTCTATCGACAAGGCCGGTGTAGGTTTGTTTATTAATTCTTCGATGTGGATGTCCCTCAATATTGAATTACAATTTTCTTCTCTTTCTCCAGCAACCGAGGAGTTATTGCATTGAGCAATGCAAAAGTAAACTTGATAGACGACGGCTATGTCCCACGAATTGCCTGAAAGTTTGCCTGTTTTCAGCTGTTTTCATTGAGAAAGCTTGGCATTTGAACGAGTTCACACTGACTCAAAATTCCTTCAACTGGACTTCCAGGTTTTTGCTCTTTTTTTCTAGTCAACGAKCTCATTGAATTTTTAAGAGGAGGATTTCATTCTCAGCTTTTCTTGTCAAGACACCGGTTTGAATCCCTTCGGCTTTTCACTTTTGTTTTTAGTAGTCTGTAGAGGAATGTTCTGGCTTCTTTTGAGCTTTTACATCTTGACATATCGTTTTTTTTCTTCCAATACAATCCTTTTTGAGCTATCTTTAAATTATGGTGAATACTTATCGAGCATTTCTAAGCTGTCATTAGACTCATGCTTGCCGTCCTCATGAGTAACCAGTTGAGTCACCCACTTCTCGCTATCATATTGTATATGTACATAATTCCTGTCAAGCTCAGAATTTGCAGAGCAAATTCTTCAAATATGTAGGCCAAGTTATAGCGATGTCAAGCCTATATGCCGGTTTTGGGAYGGTTGGCATGTCAAAAGCTCTTGCTGTTTGTATGATCACTGATGACATCATGGCTGCCAGCTGTCATTTAGATGTAAATGACATTCCAGATTATAACATACAGCTTATTTTATCCCAAGTAGGCGAAATAAGAACATCCAGTCCTCAACGTAAGGAAATTATGTTTCTTTTTCCAAGAACGATCACATGTATTTACTTGGCTTGGTGTGTAAAAATGTAAAAAAAATGGCTGTTCCCGCGCTTCAAGCATTTAAAGATAAGCCTTGCAATTAATTATAGTTTATCTGAGTTAACAAAGATAAACTCACAAAAATTCCTGATAAAAATCGCATGATAATTCGCTTTATTGGATATGCTATTTGTAATATCCAATTTGGATTGCTATTTACATAATTAGTTATTACATTTATAACTGTTTAAATACACCATTCCCATAACCTGTCATGGCTAATTAGCATTCAGGACAGAAGGCCTCAGCAATGATTTCCATGTACAAATCCTTGTAATTTTATTTTTATTATCTTTAATGTTAATATTTTGTCTAAAGCTTCATTGGACAGTGCTGAACGTTTTTAAAGAATATAATCAAAAAGTATTTAATAAAAATTAGTATGCCGTAACACAGTCTTCAATAATAAAACATTAATTATATTTTATTTTTAGCTTCAAGATGCACATGAAAAAGTTAAAGAATTTAGGTATTGTGAAGAGTTGACAATGATGCTATACCAAGCTGGCTTTGGAAACCATGTCCTCACTGCCGGAAACAAAGTAGAAGCTGTACAATGTGTCCTTTTTCACCAAGTGTTTAAGGTACGCCAAGAAGAAATAAAGGACTTGAAGGAATGACTTGAGAGCCTCTCACTTATTCAACTCCTACAAGAACAAGAACAAGAACAAGATGTGGAAGTCACAGCTAATGACATGTTGGCAATGTTGGACTTATGAAATTACAGAACATGAACACAAAACAAAGTCTTGGTTTGAAAGCTACATAAAGTCATTGTAAAAAGGTAAAATCAAAGCTAGAATCTCTTAAATTGTTTAGTTCCTCAAGAGCTTTTACATGTTGCCAAATAAATACCCTTTACAATGTTTAAAAAGAGGCCTCACAACCCTTTATTGGTCATAGCCCCCAACTTTACCGGCTACATGTACTTCATATGATGCTTTCCTTAAGAGTGTACTGACGTATCCGTTTCTAGACGACCTTGTTGCTATGCTAGCCGATGCTAGCCAATCGGAGAAGCGGGCGCGCGCGCGTTTTCATGGCGGGAAAATTTTTACTTCCGGTGGAAAGGTTTTTGTTTACATAAAATGTATGGTATCATTTAAAAAATATAATCTTTGGTGCGAAACACTAAATGGACATGTTTTTTCAATATTTATGTTCTTCACAGCCTCCTCTTCAGAACCAAGCATGGGTTTGGGTTATGGCCGTGGATAATGAGTGAAACCTAATACATACACTTATTTGTCAAAATGTTTGAGACTTGGTATTAGAACGATTTCACATAAGCGTTTTTTTTACATGCTAATGCGTTTTTAATATGAAAATTAGTTTTCACCTCGACTTCTGAGGCTGGCTCACGTTAGCAGCTTTTGAGCTTTCACTTCATACAATAATAATAATAATAATAGTAATGTACTTACCGCGCATTTATCATGACTCAATGCGCTTACATATGTGTAAAAATAAAAGTACTAATCCGCAATTAAATCAAATTGTACTGAAGAATCATGAGTATAAAAGAATAGATTAAGCTAATTGTCATAGTGAAAATATGATTTTTTAAATAAAAATGTCTTAATGTTCGATTTGAAGGATGCTACTGAAGGTGAAGCTTTTATAAATCCTGGCAGATCATTCCATAATTTAGATGCTGCATAAGAGAATGTGCGATGGCCATAGGTACTTGTTCTGACAGTGGAGATGACAAGAAGTGATCGGCCACAGGAACGTAATTGTCTAGTAGGCTTGTGTTTAGTTACAAGACTTGACAGATATTCTGGAGCAAGGCCATGAAGGATCTTATACACAAGAAGTAGGATCTTATATTGGATTCTCTTTTCTACTGGCAACCAATGGAGGTCTTTTAAGATTGTTGTTATATGATCATCTTTACGTGCACCACTGACCGATCGGGCTGCGATATTCTGGAGCCTCTGAAGTTTATCCAATTCATTCTTGGGCAAGCMAWWWWATAMACTGTTACAATAATCTAAATGTGGCGTCACATATGCATTTACCAAGCGCGCCAGATCATCACGAGAAACATATTTCTTGATGCGGCCAATCGATCTAATGGCTAGCATTGTTTTTTTTACATATGTGGTTGACATGACTGGTAAGGCTAAGGTTAGTATCCAATATTGCTCCCAGGTTTCGTACTTTATTGGTGGTGATGACTGTATTGCCGACAAACGAAAAACATGAAGGAATATCGACTTTCCGACTGAAACGCGATGTGAAATATATCACCTCAGTTTTCTTAGGATTGCATAGCATGTTGTTTGTATACCATGAAATGACCTCGTCTAAACAAAAACGGAGTTGGCCAGTCGCGGATGATGAATTCCATGGACTAACAGAGATATATAGTTGGGAGTCATCAGCGTAGAACATAAATTTTAGGTTGTGACTAATGATGATATCTTGAGTGGGCCCACGTACATAATAAACAATAAAGGACCAAGTATTGAGCCTTGTGGAACGCCATACTTTTACAGTTTACGTTGGGATGATATAAAGTCTCCAATAATTACAAATTGAGTTATACCTTGTAAATACGACTGGAACCAATCGAGTACTTTCCCAGAGATGTTGAAATAATTCTTAAGTCTGGCCATGTATCTCCATAAGATACATGTGCATTTGGGTTGAGACAGATTTTTCAATGATTTTACTTAGGAACGGCATGTTAGTCACTGGTCTGTAGTTTTGAAGAAGTTCTCGATCAATACTGAATAAATATGTCAACTCTCTCATTTAAGTTTTAAATTACGTGAACGTAGCCGCCTAAAAATATTTGTCCTACTTCTAATTCACTAGTTACATATTGTTTTTGCTCCGATGAAGCCAGGGGTATGTGTACTACAATTATTAACTCATTCCCTACGGTGATAAATTTGTCAATTTTGTAGTTTTTTGTGTGTTAGACTTCCATAAATTGCTTAACTTCCAAATAAGGCGCTGTCAATCAAACTAAAGTCAATTCAAATACCTGAGGAAATGCAAATTTCAATAACGCACGGCGAATTTGAGACACCTCGCGATATTAGCCAAACAAAGGGACGAAATTAGGACCTTGACTCTTTTTAGTCATGATCAATGACATTGATGTCAGCAGTGTCAATCTCTGGAAGTACGTAGATGTCACTTCGATCGCTGAGACAGTGCACAAAGGCCAACCAAGTGAAATCCAAGTTGCTGTAGATGAACTGTTCGAGCAAGCCGAAGCAGATAAGTTTCAGTTGAATGAATCCAAGTGTAAAGAGTTACAAATACATTTCTCGAGAAACGCAAACACCTTGGAACCAGTTACTATTAGCAACAAACCAATTGAGGTCGTACAAAAAAAAAAAAAACAAAAAAAAAGCTCCTAGGCCTTACAATTTCAAACAATCTTAAGTGGAATGCCCATATTGAGAACGTCACCAAAAAATGTGCATCCAGGCTCTACCAATTAAGACAGCTTAAACGTGCTAACGCCGTTCCTGACCAACTGATGTGTTTCTACAAAACCTGTATYAGACCTGTAACAGAATATGCATGTCAGACTTTCCATGATGGTCTTCCTCGCTACCTCTCTGAAGAGCTAGAAACAATTCAGCGACGAGCTCTTAAGATAATCTCACCCGCCCTGAACTATGAGCAACCTCTTAATGAACACAGCATGACGACTCTTCACCAACGGCGCAAAGACCTGACAGAGCAGCTCTTCAAAGAAATTAATGATGACAGTWACCATAAGCTGTATAGCCTATTACCTCCGCGCAAGTCCACCAACATAGCCTTCAGGAGGAGGCGAACATTCAACACACCAATTTGTCGTACAAATAGATTTAAACAAAGCTTTATTATATTCAATAGTATTAAACATTTTTCAAAGTTTTAATCATATACAATATATTTATATCTTAGCTTTTTAAGTAATTCAATTTTTCAATCCTTAATTTTTCATACATTATTATATATATATTTATTGCTTATTTTTTTTTGTAATTGTCCGTTATCCAGCTTTATGGCTGCAAAGGATTTAATAAAGCTATCTATCTATCAGCCCCTAGGACTGCATTATTAAGCTCGACTAGGCGGCAAAGACAGACTTCTGGAAGAAATCAGAGGTGGAAAGCGATTTTTCGAAGAAGACGGCAACAAACCGAAGGTCTCTTTGAATTGTTGTCGTTAGACAACCACTTTGGGAAATTATAATTTTTGGAGTCATCACTCCTGTCTCTTTGGTTGCTGTCTCTTTGCATCGAACTTTGCACTTTCTTGGCAGGAAAAAGGCGTTGGACTTTTTGAAAGAATTTAAATTGAACGTATTAACTGTATGGATTCTTGTTTCAGTTTAATCACCATTGTTATGTTAAAACATCGTTATTTGTAGTTTTACAAACTGAAACATTTCTCGATGATGACGCCTTTCTTTTTTAAAACTAAATTCAGTGAATTAAACATTTTATCAACTTGTATGATTTAAAACAAACCATACTGACAACTGCCACTTTGCGAATACCTTGTTTACCAAGGTGACAACTCAACAAATGAGGAGACAACTTTATTTGCATTTTAAAAACTCATTAGCATATAAAAAACGCTTATGTGAAATCGTTCTATTGTCTAATCTTATGTTTTTAAGATGGATCACAACTAATTAAACGCAAATKTGGTATATTTTTAACTCGCTCGCTTCGCAAAAGTATTTAGGCAAACATGCTAAAATTCTATAATTATTTATAATATGCAGTGATTATAGCAGTTTTTGTCAGTTGTCAGTATTCAGTAATTTATTGGCTTCTTTTAAAGATACAGCGTATTTTCCAACAGTAATAATTTTAGTTTTCGATGATTTACTCTAAAACTAACATTCAGATCATTTTGAAATTTTCAGAATTGGTATATCAGCCACTGCTGCTAGGCTAATCATGAACACTAGAAAATATGATCACATCACACCTGTACTTTATAAGCTTCATTGGCTACCTGTTTTTTATCGCATTCAATTTAAAATTTTATTAATCACATTTAAAGGGCAACTGACCCCTCATTTTTGCCGTTTTTATATAAAACTACAATGTATCTAGATCAGAAAAATCCAACTTTGTTATCATGAACAGCTTCCCTGTCGCCGAAATTTTTTTTTTCAAAACGCCAAAAATTACTATTGAATGCCGCCATATCTGAGCCCGCGGAACATTACCGCATTAAGCCTGTGACGTCACAACGTGAAGAGCATTTCTTCACACATTGAGAATTTGTAGGTTTCACGTGCAAAA